AACTAAGCGTAAACCATCTGCTTTTGAGTACAAAGATAGATCGCGAGGTCGGAAATCGAGCCGTACGACCAGTTCTTCGCGTGGACAGACAAGCTCGTCTTCTCAACAATCACAAGGGGAAACAGATGATACATTTTTTTTTTTTTTTTTAAATATGGCTGAACGTTAATTAAAGTATTTATATGATTATATAATTGTGACGTGAAATTATCATGATATTGCAGAGTTTAGACCGACAAATATATTTGATTTTACAATGTGGCAAAGTGTCCCCTGGCATATGTTGGACTACATAATGAGTTACCTGAATGTGGAGGCAGATGGTTACTGCGGATTTCGGGTCATCGCGAGTTACGTGTATGGTCAACAAAAGCATTGGGCAGTCGTAAGAGAGGACATTGTGAAGGAGGTCGACAGCCACCGTCGATTGTACGAGTACATCTATTTTAGAGATATCGACATCGGACTCCGTCGAGTAAGGTGGAAAACAGGCCTTTGTGGACCGGCTCACTGGTTCGAAGTTCCGCAGGACCTCTACGCTGTTGCGACCCTATATAATGCGGTTGTCGTTCTGTTGGGCTCTGGTCCGCAAGGTGGGAAGCACAACTTCTTCAGCCTCACAGTGTTGCCTCTCATTGCACGATCATCGGCTAGAGGACCATGTCGTGAGATTGTCATGTGCCATCTTGGTACTGTAGAACACTACATTCGTTTAGATTTGACTCATGATTGTCCATTACCGCCTATTCATCCCATGTGGTTCACTCACCGAGATGAATCGGTTGTGGGTTGGGAGGATCAGTACAAGGCTAGGTTGCAATTGTGGTTTACTGTTCAAAATAGACCTTGTTGAATAAAAGAACGATATTATTCAGTTCAACAAAAGAACGATATTATTCACTTGTGGTATGACGATTTTCATTCAACTTAAGTTTAGCAAAACAATAAGAAAAAAATAAAAAAAACTCATTCAACTTAAGTTTAACAAATAAAAAAAACATTAATTTGAATGGTTTATATACTAAAAATGCCAAAAAAAAGTACCATTAATGCGATTTCGATTGCCCTGTAACATGAACGTATGTTCCTGCGCTCGAGACATGCTCGTTCTCCTGAGTCGACCCATCGGGACTCTCAGGAGAATGAGCCTGTCTCGAAGGGCAGGAACATACGTTTATGTTACAGGACAATCGAAAATCGCATCAATGGTATTTTTTTTTTTCATTTTTAATATAAACCATTCAACTTAATGTTTTACAAATAATAAATAAAGAAAACCATTCAACTTAATGTTTTACAATAATAATAATTAAAAAAAAAAAACATTCATTACATCATTGTTGGGCATTGTCATAATCCAACTTAAACTTAGCAAAATCTTCTTGGACTTGCGCCGCCTCCGGACATTCAACAAGGAACTGCTGCATGGTCGATGTAATGCCCAAAAGACAGTCCATCCACTAAAAAAATGGAAGAATAAAAAGATATGACTAAAATTTATTAAAAAAAATTATTGTAATAAAATAACATTAATTAAAATTTAGTGACCAACTTACATAGCCGGTATTAACACGCGTAGGGACCTCGTTCTCGTCCGACAGCTCCTCGCCCATGAGAGTCGGATGGGATACCCGACTGTACCACTGCAAGTAATCCTCAGTCGCCTCCCCGCGATCATGTGTGGTCGGGGTGAACATAGCGGTGCTGATCGTCCCAGAAATCGGGAACTGGGTCGAGGCACCTACTGCAGCAGCCTCAGAATGCTCAACCCTGTAGTTCCTAGACTCTCAAACACGTATTGCACTGATTGTCAGGTATGTAGGGGGAGGGATAGTCTGGACATACCCCAACTGACGCAGACACCGCGCAGGCAAGTACGGCTCGACAACATCGTGGTATTGGATCAATCCACTATAAAGAGTCCTCAGCTCTATCTCATTTGGGCTGGAGCTGCCGTATGGAAACCATTGCACCTGTTCACAATTGCATAAAAGCATTCATAAAAATAATTATATTATTTTAAATAACGGGTAACTAAATTTAAATAAAATAACTTCACGTACATCGGAGGCAGTGAGTCTGTCGAGGCGCCGACGGATGGCTGTGAGCCGATCGTCTGACCTTGGCGTCATTCCCTATGCTCCACGAGCGAGATCGTGCGAGACAGTCAGGACCGATGGGTAGACGCCCCTGCGGTCGGAAATCGGGGAAATACTCATATATCCAGGACTGCAGAAGAGTCCCGCAGCCCGACAGTCCACTAGAGTCCCCTCGGCTGGCAATACCTAGCTGTCTGTACATGTATGCCAGTGTATTCGATCCCAATGAGTAACCCCTAATCAAATCCAAGCCGTCGAGCACCTCGTTCAGGAGCTTGGGGGTCACTCTACTACCACTCTTGTCGACGAACAATATGGTAGCCAGCATCACCCACATCCAGGCACCCGCCTCATCCTTAGTCGGTCGGCGTTTCCCCCTAAATGCCCCCACAATGGAGGCTTCGGTCACCGAACCACGCTGCCAGAACGAACTCATGAGTTCGGCCTTGGTGACCGAAAGTATCGACATGTAGAGCCGATGGCAGGCGTCTGAATTCGAGTCCTTAGCGACTACGGCTCCCTCCATAGGAACGCCCAAAATGGCCCGGACGTCGTGCAGCGTGATGCTCGTTTCACCAAAAAGCAGGTGAAACGAGTTAGTATCCGGCTGCCATCGCTCCACAAACGCAGAAAGGAGCGGAGATAGTATCCGGCTGCCATCGCTCCACAAACCAGATGTGACAGCCCGGTGTTCTTGATCAGAGCTCTCGCATCGGAAGACATCTCATAACGCCATTCCCTCAGATTCCCGACTGCTCTCAGTCTGTTGTGGCATTTCAGCAGCCCCCTAAAATCTCCATTCCACATGCGGGAGGCGACGTGCCCTAGAAAGCTAGGGATGACACTCCCATCAATGGGCACACCGGCCACTGGGCCTTTAACGATCCAGGGTGCATCATTATCGGTCTTAGCTCGTTTGCTAGTACCTGCATTCCAATACAACATATCTATATATATAGACTTGCTGGTAGATGCATTAAATAAAATATATTTAATAAAACATATTTCATAACTTTCCCGCTTTTTTTTCAATTAATGTACAAACGTGACATTTTACATTAATAAAATATAATGACAATTTTAAACTAATTTATTATGTAACATATCAAACTAATTGATTATATCAATAATATAAAATAATTATAATAATTTTCTAACTAGTTAATTGTATGGTTCCTCTAAATTAGGCTAAATAATTATACCGTAGTTGAGGAGCAAGCCAATAATACTTTTCTAACGGTACCCATAATTTGTTATGATTAAGTCAAAATAATTTATGTTAAACAACAATAAATACGTAATTATTTACCTGATGAGGATGCAGCTGGGCCAAAACGCCCCCCAGCCTGTCGTTGAGGAGCAGGCTGTGTAGGACGAACAGCCTGTACCGGACGAACATGCTGTACAACCGGCTGTACCGGACGAACATCAGGAGGACGAGGGTGGCTAGGACCCGTAGGCTGTGTGTGGTCCTGATCATCTGAGGAGTCGTCCGAGTCACGCTCCTCTGGACCCTGCTCCCTCTCGCCATACGATTCATCAGCATACCCCTGTTGACCATAACGTAATGGTGCGCGTGCGCCGGGNGCGAGGAGGTATCGAATTCCCTGCGTAGCGGGAAAAAGCATATCCCGACTGATCGTACGGTCCTGCTGCCGGGGGCATCGAACTGCCTACCTGGCCAGGATAATAATATCCATGCTCACCGTACGGTAGGACTTCATGGAGTCGCGAACTATCTCGCTGGCCCTCAAAATGATATCCCTGCGGACCATTTCGTACTGGTGCGGGGGGTCTCGAATTCTGGCTAGCCTGAAGAGTCTGTACCCTCCCAGCCTGATCGATCATCGCCTACCTCTCCCTCTCCCGACGAATGGACGCATTGACACCCCGACTTCTAGTGTGTCGGGTGCCAAAACCATCATAATAGTCATCGAACGTCTCATCGTCGTCTCTGACATTAGATTGTCCAGGTCTGCTAACACCCTGAATCAGAAATATAATTATTCAATTTTTTCATATGTAATGACTATTGTAATAACTATTAAAATAGATTATAATTCATTTTTATTTTAATTTATAGATTTTATTATTATAATTTTTAATTATTATTATAATTATAATTGTTGAGATTTATAATAATTATTATAATTAATTATAATTATTATTACAAATTATTACTATTAATTATAATTAATTCTTATTTATAATTATTATTATAATTAATTTTAACTATTATTACAAATTATTATTATTAATTATAATTAATTCTAATTTATAATTATTATTATAATTAATTTTAACTATTATTACAAATTATTATTATTAATTGTAATTAATTCAAATTTATAATTATTATTATAATTAATTTTAATTATTATTACAAATTATTATTATTAATTATAATTATTATTAGAATTTTTTGTTTAAATTATTATAATTATATTATAATTATTCGAGCCGGTTTTTTAGCCGATCTCGGTCGGTTTTTTAGCCGACCGGCCAGCCGGATCGGACGCCTTTTCCGCCGTCCGGAACCGACGATCGGACGGCCGCCGCGCGTCCGGATGCGACGGTCGGACGCCGGCCAGAATAAAAAAAAATTAAAAATATTTAATGCGTAAAAAAATAAAAAAATTACCTTGCTAGAGAAGAACCCTTTGCCGATTCGGTGGGATTTTTTCGACATTTTTTCGGATTTTTTTCGATGCTCGAATCGCTCGTTGAAAGTTTGGGAATTTAGAGAGATAAAGAGTTTAGAGAGATAGACTCGGAAAAAGAGTTAAAGACAAAAAAATAAAAAAGGAGGACGGTGAGGCAGTATATAATAAATGATATAATAAATGAGTTTAATTTGTGTGAGGGCGTACATGCTGAGGGATTTGTCAACGGATTTCAAACTTTTTCTTTCATATTTCTCAACCCAAATGGCGCCTCATTGCGCTTCATTTGAGTTGTTAGGCTATAAAAAAACATATACTCTGGAAAAGATTCCAACAGAAATTGAACATAGAGATCATGTAATTTAACAACACGGCCTAGACCAAGAAATAATTTCCAGAAATTGTCAAAGTTGCTAAATATCTGCAAACACTTAAAAGCTGATATGCTCTCTCCTGTTACATAGTGTTCTCCCACCTATAAACAAACATTCACGTATTTCTGCATGTACAAAAACTAAACCTTCCATTTACAAAAACGTGATCTGGTAAGAACTTCAAAAGTATGTCTCATCGTGCATTAAGCCATCATATCCTATATCCACATTTTGCAAATATGCAGCAATTACAAAACTGTTTTTTATTCCTATAACTGTAAGGCAATATTCACACTGGGAAAAATATAACCTATCTTCATGTGCTGTCCACCATAGATCAGAAGGATCTTAATTTGTCATTCTACTACTGTTTTTCCTTTCCTTTTGTTTTCCTGCTTTTTTTATGTCGAGCATTTACCTTAGGTGAAGAAATATATACACTTTTGCATACTTTATTCAACCACGTTTGACCATGTTATCTCGAGTTCGAGCGTCCTAGAGGAGCTGTCTTGGCCGTTATCATGACTGAGGCTGAAAACACCACTGGTTACTCCTTCAGTTACAACGTTGTCAATTTGAATTGTGACTCTCCCATGAGAAGTCTGAAGAGAGAAAAACAAAAAAACAAAGGAGGAAAAAGTGAAATCCGAAAACTAAATAAGAAACTTGTCATGAAGAAATGTTGATTACCACCACAAGTAATAAAAGCATCATCAAATGATAGGCCTATTTCAGCTTTCAAATGGGAACTAGAGTTCATACAGATAATTTTGTATTGTGAAATTAAGTCAAAAACCAGTTACCTTTCCGAAAGTACTTCTGCTTCTGCTTCTGCAGTCGATTTGTAACTTTTGCCCCTTTGGTGGTACATCAAAGGCCCACATAAATCTTTCTTTCCACTCTGGTGAGGTGTTATGGCTCACAACCTGACAGTATGTGCAAACAAAGACAGTCGGGATAGTAAGCAGATGAGCATATTGTAAGCCAGCTACAGTCTCCCAACTAAACTAAATCAATCTACCCTTAGCTCCTAAACTTGGTTACATAAACAATCTGTTTCATCTTTCGAAATTACAAACAGATATTCCGTCGAGGTTTGTGTTGCTTCGCAAATTCCCTTAATGCTCGAATGCAATTTGTCTAATACATGAAAGATAGCTAGAAACCTAGTACACACACGCTAACAAAAAAAGAAAGAATAGTATACATTTACCTTATAATAATAAAAAACAATTGAAAATCAAGTGAATCATGCAATTAACACCTTAGTGCGCCTAGAGGGGCAATTGCCTATGGCCAACCGGCAAAAAGCACTCGTGCCACCATGCTTCAAATTGTTAGCTCGCCCGATGAACACCGTTAAGCATCCCGGCAAATAGCTCAACAGGCTTTCCAGCCTGTCGTGAAAACTCGGTGGGCCAGTCTTTAAAAGCATCTGCAGAGTGGGGATGGCCTCGGCTGCAATCATAGCCTGAGACCTCGTCACATTAGCCGACCATGACTGCTTGAGCAGGCACAGGGTGCTCAGCACAGAGTCCTGAGCCACCTCACCCCCGGACTTGAGGGCAGATATTAAATGGGGAATGCAAAGCGTCGCTGCCTCGGAAATGATAAGCTTGGGGAAATTGGAGAAGACGACATTTATAGTCCTCAGCACCTCTTCATTTGCAGTAGCTGTTGACTGTAGTTCTCTGTCTAGAGCATCTGGACACAGTTTGATAATGAAGTTTTTTATTTCTCTTAATCAGCAGACAAATGTAGTAAGAAAACCCAAACTCAAACTACCTGTCAATAGGGTTGAAACGAATCAAATCAAAGCGAATATTAAGATATTCGATTCGAATTCGTTAAAATATTCGAGGATTCGAATTCGTATTCGATTCGTAAACGAACTCATTTTTTGATTCGTATTCGATTCGTTTAGAATATTCGAACATATTCGATTCGTTTTCAGAGAAATATTATAACAAAAAAAAGATTATAATTACAAAAATATTTTTTATGTTTTTCCTATATTTGAGATGTTTTGGGGGTAAATTATTAATTTGAGATGTTTTTACTTTTTATGTCATAAAAATATTAGAAATATAACAATATATCTATATATATATATATATATAATTTATATAATTATCGTTAACGAATCGAATATCGATATTTCGAATAGAATATCTACAAATTCGAATTCGGATTCGTTTAACTTTCGAATATAAAACATTATTCGTATACGAATCCGCACGAATATCGAATCGAATAAAAAAAAATCGATTTGTTTACAAACCTACCTGTCAAGGTGCGGACGAGGTCATTGGAGGCGTAGTCCTGCAGCGTGTGGTTAGAGAAGAGAAAGTTGATAAGCAGAGCAGCCTGGGCCACAAGCTCCGGGTTGGGGCAGAGTAGCATCTCCTGCACGGACTCGACCCCGCCAGCCTCGGCCACAGCCCGCCTGTTGCTGCGGCTCTTCATCACAAAGTTGTGCAGCGCGCACACGGCCACCATCTTCATCTCCTCCGTCCGCTGCAGCCGCAGCACCTCAACCAGCGCCCGGCACGCCGCCGCCGAGTCGCTGGCCCTCGCCAACCCCTCGTGCTGCGACAGGTCCCCAAGCGCAAGTGCTGCCAGCAGCCGGGCCGTCTCGGACACCGTGCGCGGGTCCACCAGATAGTGAGCAAGGGCCGCGATCGCGTGCTTCGCGGCCTTCATTTCCCGCACGCGTCTACTGTTGAGCAGTGCTTCTAGCAGCCTTGCCGCGCCCTCCTCGCACTCGTGGGAGCGCAGAAGGTCAAGCAGCGAGTCGATGGCGCCGGCTTCCGCCACAGCCTCCGCGCTCGAGATTTTCGTCTTGTGTTGGATAATGAGGCTGTTGAGGGCGACCCTCACGGTCGTTCGGGAGGTCGAGCGTAGCATTTTTACGAGCGCCTCAACGGGGACGCCCAGGTAGTACTCAGCGTCCAGCTGGACTAGATTCGAGACCACGGAGGCTGCACACTCCCACAGAGGGCCATCCACAACATCCTGGACGACAACCTTGGACAGCTCCAGGACACCGCCTGCATCGAAAACTTCCTCAGGCCAGCTCAGCGAGATTTTCTCCAGTGCCTTGATTGCCGTGTGCTGTAAATCAGGGATACCAATCCCCGCCAGCTGGACGAGGGGGGCCGCCGCAGCTTTCATGGTGATGTCCTGCTTGAAGTGCTCCTGGGCAAGCAGGTGGGAGAGAAGCTCGGTGCCGAGCTGCTGAATGGCCTGGGACGGGGACTCGAGGAACGAGATGAGGGGCTCGATGACCTCGCTGGGGGAGAGCTTGAGGGCCGACAGGCTCTGGGGCTTCTCCAGGATGTTCACGAGCGCCTGGAGAGCACTGTCCTGACCCCAAAGCCCGATGTCCGTCCTCAGCACCACCACGAAGAGCGGCTCCACAATCTTGGCAGCCGACGGGCTCTTGGAGACTGCGCTGCTGTTGGTCAGGATGCGGAAAAGCTCTGCAATCATGGCGCAGGCCGAGTTGGGAGCGTTAGGGAGTAAATCCAGACATTTGTCTATGATACCCGCGTTCACCATATCCAGCTTGCGCGGGGTCCGGTCCTTCCCCAGGTTGATGAGCGAGCTAATACTCGCCTCGATGACCCGGTAATTTGATCCGGAGACGAGACTGACGAGCAAACCGACGAAATCGTGGTCCGAAGTGATCTCCACCTGACGTTCATCATCGTCCAGTAACCGCTCGAAAGCGCAAACTCCAGACTCCACGGCACTTTCCCTATCAGATTTCATCAGAAAAATTAAAGGCTCCAACCATTCCGAAACGACGGGCATTATTTCCCTGACCCTCGGGTTGCCGAAGAGCGCACAACATAACTCAGCAGCATCCGTCTTCAGCTCCAGAGAAGAAGAGTGGGATGATAAAATCTTGTGCAGGCTACGCAGAGGATTGCCTCCCGCCTCAACCAGCACAGCAACTTTCGAGTCGTTATCGGAGGTCAGCTTGAGCAGTGCGCTGAGGGCGGCCGCCTGCTCGCACTCGGACGTGGACCCCAGCATGTCGGCCAATGGCTGGACAGCCTGCATGGACGAGTCGGAGTTTCTGATGTGGTCGGCGTCAAAAAGCTCGTTGAGGGCCCTGACAGCACTCAGACGCGCGTTTCTCGACCCCAACTGGAGGACGGCAATGAGCTGAACCATGCAGCTGATTGCTGCTTTGTAGCGGAGGAGATGGTGATTGCTGAAGAGTATCCTCAACAGCTCGGATATGGTAGCCTCTGTCAGGTCCTGAGGGCTCAAGGATAGGTATTTGGTGAGGGCATCAAGGACTCCGGCCTCGGCCATCACTAGCTTGTTGCCGTCATCTCCATCTGCAATCTGGGTCAGAAGACTAATGGAGACTAGTGGGGCCCCCGGACGGTCAGCCATTGGTCTCAACAGGTCCACAAGACAAGGAATGGTCTTCCGAGCCAGAGAACCTACTCTGACATCATCAATTCGGAATAAATTCTCCAGGACCACCTGGTCTGGATTTCTGACTAGACCGAATTCATCGGATAAGGCCAACAGATTCGGCATGTCTGAAGGTCCCAAGTGCCCCACTAAGGTTATTATGCCTTCCACTGCATCCGTGTTTGCTATCGCAAGATTTATTCCCTTGTTTCCATGGCTCGCAAGACTAGCCATTGCTTGAACAGCAAAAAACCTGTCAATGATTTCGTTTGCCTTGAGGAGGGTGGCGAGTGGCTGCACGAAACCGATGGCCATAGGGGAGGAGACAACGTTAGCATCCTGGAAAAGTATAGCTGCAAGAACAGTGCTGATCCATAATCCCTCCGTGTCCTCTAATTCTGCCTGGAAAGATGGCAACATTTTCCATAAGCAAACGGCTTTTCAACAATGTAATAATAATAACAACAATAGGGCATATGATGACTATTTAATATTTATACATAGTCTAAGGAATTAATTTATAACAAAAAATTTAGCAGAATTGAATCCTAATGGAAACAGGAAGTAAATTACAACAGATACAAATTTAGTAAAACATTCAACAAATTGTGCATGAAGACGACTGTTCACCGTACAAAATCTCTGTTGGCATGTCTCGCAAGCTTGTCGAATAAGGGGTCAAGCCCACCAGATTCCATCACAGTGCTTTTGTTCTTCGGATACGAAGAAGAAACTATGGATAGCAGCCACAAGGCTACGGTACCTCCCAAGACAGTTGCAGGATCGGACACATCAAATTCATTCCCATTTCGGAAAGCAGATCTATCTCTATAACCTCTCGGGGTCCTTACTTCGATTTCCAGATACGAAGAAGTGGGATTCTGCTTGATCATTTCCAACAACGCATGAGTAAGTGGTTTCATGTATCCAGATGCCCCAAGTGCATCCATCGACTGAGACCTATGTTCCTTTGCAGCACAAATCAGTAGTGCAGTTCCCCCGACCCTTACCTCCAGGCTGTTTGATTTCGTCACTCTACCCGCCAAAGCGCCAATCGACCTTGAATTCGAGACTAGTAAGTCTCCCAGCAAGACTGGCTGATCCCTGGACAGCCTAGACAGGATCCCAATCACCTTATCCTGCACCTGAGGCGGACCCTCACAAAGGCAGCGCACAAGCGGCCCTAAGCTTGACGGAACCTCATTGAGACCCTGCCTCGTCCTAGATAACAGATCGACCACTTCCAAGGCATCAATTGCATCTTTGCTGTCGATATCCATCGCATTCAAAGAATCAACAACTGCAAGGATAGCAAATCGACACTGGGACCTCCCCGTAAGCACGTCACTCACATGAAAGCGTTTAAGTAATTGGTAAAGAGCACGTGAAGCGCTCATTTTTCCCTCCAACGAACCCTCGTGCAAAATTTTTGTTATGGCCGTAACAACGTCCTCGGCCAGAGCCTCCACGGCCACTCGCCGGTCACTCAATAAGTTAACCAATGCCGCCATGGCATTTTCTGCAAAATCAATGGATGCTGTTTTTGCCACCTTGATTAGGGACCTAACGTCGCCTTCCACAATGCAGGACGTCTTGCTGTTGGTCTTGATCTTGGCTGGACCCGACAAAGCACCAAGCCCTCGGGATGCAATGTGAGGTTTTCTGGCTAGGAGATTTAGGCAAGGGCTGATGACTTCATCTGCAGCAAGACCATCGCGTATATCTTGCCGGTTACGAAATAAATCTGCCAAAACTGCTGCCGCATATTCCTGAGTCTTGTCGTTGGATGAATTAAGAACCTGGACGAGTGATCTCAGGCCCACATTACCGAAGGCACCCTTTTCCACAAGGTCGGCAAGTGATGCCCTGGAGAGCACATGCCCCAGAACCTTGATGACATGGCCCTTGGAACTCGGTGAGTTACCAACGAGCATGGCTAGCAATTGGTTGACTGTGGATGAATCAGCGACCCGGACAAGCTTCAAGAGAGCCACAGCAGCAGCCTCTTGCCCCTTTGGCTCACCATTTTTGAGGAGCCACAAGAAGGCCGGTATGGCCCCCGCACTCTCCACACATGCTCGAATATCCTCACCATGACAGCCCAGTTTCCATAAAATATGGGTGGCGTCCAATCTGGCCTTGTGGGACCCGACTTGTACTAAACGGATGAGCGGGGGGATTCCGCCAGCAGCGGTGATGGCCCACTTGCTGTCTTCCAGTTGTTGGGTCAGGATCGCGAGCATTTCCACCGCATACTCCTGGTTTTTCTCGCCGGACAAACCGAGAGCCGAGATCAGTATCTGAATCCCTTCCCTCTTTCCCAAGGCCTCCCATACGCTCACTTCCTCCGTACATAATTTTATCAGCGACACAATCAAATATTCCTGAGTATCACCAATCGCCATTGTTATCAGCCCCACGAGTGCCATTTTCGCGTCCGCATTATTAATCACGCCGCCTGACAAGCAGGAGTTTCCGTAGAGACCGGCAAGCGCCTCGAGAAGACGTTCCTGGACCAGCCTGTTGTCCCTGGGCTTCAAGAGCATGATTAAAATGTTCTCCACCTTAGCCGACTCGAAAAAGGGCTCCCCATCTTCACCCAGCTCGAAAACAGTCAGCGCATAAGCAAGCGCCCCAATTATATCGGCAACCGGGGCCGCCAGCCTCGGCGACTGCGAGAGCTCCCCGAGATAGAGCAGAAGAGCCGGCATCCCGCCGCATATATGGGCCAGAGCCCGCGTGGAGTGGTCCTGAAGCGCCCGGGCCCACTCTCCTTGCAGGCCTTCCTTAGAAGGCGCGACTACGGCCCCAATGAGCACCGGCACCCCCTGCGCATCGGCAATGACCTTTTTACCCTCCGCCGATTCGGAAGAAAGCGCGGCCAGTGCTTCGGCGGCGCTCGCTCTCACCAAGACGTCCTTTTGTGGACCCAAAAGGCGGATTAGAGGTTCGACAGCACCGGAGTCGATTATTTTGGGAATACCGTCGGGGAAAGCGAGCGCCAGACGGGCAAGGAGAGAGGCCGCGTTAGACTGGGAGGAGGCTAGGTTGTCCGAGCGGAGAAGCCCGACAATCACGTGGGCCCCGCCAGAATCGAGGGTGGCCTGCCAGTGCCCATCGTGGTCGCCACACAGGTTCCTCAGCGCCCCAGCGACAAAACCCTCGACCACGCGGTCGTTGCCCACAGTGAGTTGGTCCCACAGGGTGGGGACCACGCCCTCTGTCACGAATATCTTCATGCCGACGTGCCCACCAGAAGACAAAGACACCTGGCACAGGGCCTCGGCAGCCGCCTTGCGGGCCTCAGCAGAAGACTTGAGGAGGGAAAGCAGTGGGGGGATGCAGCCGCCAAGGAGAACTTTGACCCTTAGCTCGTCTTCTCTGCAAAGTACGCTTAATGTCGAGGCCACGTTTATCTTGGCCAGTTGGGTCCCGCCCCAGAGGATGGAGATGAAGAGTGGGAGGGCCTGGGCGTGGGACCCGATGAGGGCACGCGCCTCCTTTCGAGCCCGAGCTATGCCCAGCAGACGAGCAGTGGTGAGCTCCTTCTCGTGCGGGGAGGATGTGCTCGACTGCAGCTGATCGATTAGTTGGCCGACCCTCGACCTCGTCTTTTCTGGGTCATCCATTTCGATTTTCTCATTTGGTTCCCTGAATATGGACAGAGTGTTCTTTTAGCAGTTGTCATGGAGAATGACAAATAACACAAG